AGGCGGGGCACAGCACAAATGAAGTGGTGACCCTCCTCGCCGATACAGGCTCCTCCCCGGAGTCCCACCCAGCTTGATGATCCCACCCACTGAGCCCAGCTCCCTGGAAGGCTGGGGCCTCAGCGAGAGGTGGGTGGCGGAGCCCCAGCCCAGGGGTAGCCACCTGCCCGCAGAGAGGCCCCAGCCTGTGCTGGTGTCCCGACCCTTCTCCTGCGGGGAACGGTTAAGGGGTCTATGAAGGAAAGCCATCCGCCCGACACCTCTGCTCTTTGCAAGAAAGGGGAGGGGAACTCTCCCTGGATCCCAGGAGCCGCCTGGCCCCAGCACACAGGGGACAGAGGCCCCTCCCTCTTCCTTGCCCGTTTCAGAGCCCACCTGCTTCCCCCTCCCCTCCCGCCGGTCCCTCCCTTGCCTAGCTGTTCAGAGAACCCCCAGCACTTGGACCCCTGCGTGCACCTGGGTGACCTAGCCTTGCAGTCAGCCCCTGCTCTGCCATTCTCTAGCTGGTGACCTTGAACCCGTGAGTTCCGTGCTGTGAGCCTCAGTTTCTGCACCTGTCCATTGGGAATGACAATGGCCCTACTGGCCGGGAGGCTCAAAGCGGGGACACGTGGAGGAGCGCTTGGCCCCTTCTCAGGAGGCAAATGCCCGCCGCTTTGGCTGCCGTCGTCGCTGCTGCTGGGGCCGGGGTTGCCGGGAGACCCATCTCCCACCCACGTCCGCCTCCCTCCCGGCTCTGGCTCCATCCCGAGCCTCGTTCCCGAATATTACAGTGCTTTTCCTTCTGCCTGTCACATTCGAATCAGAAGTCACCCATCAGAGAGAAAGAAGCAGTGAGAAAGCATTTTATTTCTGAAGTTGTTAATTTTACTCTAGACTCCCCCAAAAAAGATCACCCATCTGTCAAACAAATTTTTAAAAAGACAAAGAACCTAAACGAGCTTTAAAAGTAATTATTTAAGTGCCAACGGAGAGGAAATAGAAATGCACTTGGCTCAGTTGCAGAGCTCGATGAGGATGATACTGTTCAGCCCCAACTCGGCTTCGAGGGAGAGAAGGGAGAGGCGCCAACGTCTTCACCGTACAGGAGCGGCCGCTCGGCCCTGCCAGCCCTGCCCTGTGCACCCTCAGGAAAGCGGGGCCTCCTCCTGGTCGCCCCGCGCGTCTGTCTCCCCAGGGCGCCGGTGAACGCCCCGGGTGGCCCAGGCGCGCCCCGGGCCCCACCTCAGCCCAGGCTGGGCCCCCCGGGTGCCGCTGCCCCACCGGGTTGCCCCGCTCACCCCTGAACACACGTCTCCGCTGTCCCTGCCCACGTCTACCCGGGAGCCCTCCAGAGCCACAGTCAAGCCAGACGCCAGCCGCGGACCCCTGTCTCCTTCTAGGCCAGGGCAAAAGTTGCAAACTTAGGCAGCGCCCGCAGAGCCGGTCCCCCCGGGGGCTCCTCCGGGCCGCCCGCCCCACGCGCGCCCCCGGCCCCGCTGCTCCCGAGGCCGGGCCGGGCCGTTCCCGGCCCGCAGCCGCCGCTGCTCACCTCGCTCATGTTGGCCTCAGCTCCGAGCCCGTCCCGCCGCCGCTCAGCACCGAGCACCGCTGGGTCCTGCTCCGCGGTTCTGGCTTCTCTCTTAAAAAGAGCTGCCCGGTGGCATCATGCCTCCCGCCAGCCAATCAGAGCGCTTCACCTGTCTGCAGGACGCGGCATCCGAGAGCACCTGGAGCCCCCTGGCGGCGCGGGGCGGCGGTCGCCCCGACGCTTTTCGGTGGGGTCACCGTTGGTTGCAGAGCGCGGCTGGTTCCTATGTGATGATTTTGTAGCCGCCGCTTTGCTGAAGGTGCTTCCTGGGCCCTAAGAACCTCGTGGTGGAATTTGGGGGCCTTAGCGGCACGGGGCCCTGCCCTCTGCAGACCAGGGTGGTCTAATCACTCCCTTCCCTTTTGCATCCCTTTTATTTCTCTTCTTGCGTGATTGCTCTGCCTAAACTCTGAGCACTACATTTGTAGGAAAATAGATGGATCATGAGATCATCATGCTAAGTGAAAGCAATCAGATTCCGAAGGCTAAGTGTTCCTCGGTTTCTCCATGAAAAACTCAACATACAAATAGTGTAAAGAGCAGACGGAGTAGAGGAGAGACGGCGGGACACCGGGAGGCAGACTTTTAGGAGGTGGAAGGGGCTCTGGGAAAGGAGCACTGGGAGAGGAAGGGGCAGGGGATTGAAAATAATGAAGATGCCGCGTGTGCATGAGCCAGCTCCCCAAACCAATCTCATCATTATGCATCGCAAACAAACGCTAATCAAATTTCATTTTAATTTAATTTAAAAAGCTAAAAAAGTGACACAAAGGTGTCCACAGGGGGCTGCTGTCTGTTGGCCACCGAGGGGGACAGGCTGACCCATGCAGAGACTGTATTTCAAGCATCCGTGGGAAGGCGGCTGGCCTTTCTCACCACCCTGGCTCACCAGTCTCCCACCCTTCCCAGCCCTCCCGGAGCTGCCAAATCCCCTCCTGGCCTTGGTGGCACAGGCCCGGCCTCCAGGTTTCACATGCCTGCTCCCTCTGCCTCTGCCCAGTCCGTCCTCCCGTCTGAGCCTGGGCTGGAACTTGAGCAGACGGCGTCAGGTGGGACCAGAGCAGGAACAAGGGCTGAGCGGGCCTCGACACAGAAGTAAAAGGCACCCTGCCGTGAGTGCCCTGGAGATGCCTCCACCCCTTCCCACACACTCCCCCACTGTCCTGGCCACTTCCTGCAGCAGCTCCTGAGCCTCTTCCTGAGTGGCTTCAGCAGGTGTGATCACAAATGCAGTAAATGCTACTGCCAAGAGCAGCAGGAAATGCAGGCTCATACGAACATCACGGTGGATCCTCTCCATCTGATTCACCGGATCCGGCTCAGTGCGACTTCTGGCTCTTCCCCAAAGTCACAATGACTGTGAATGGGAAACATTTTGACTCAATTCAGGACACTGAGGCAGCCAGGACAGTGCAGCTAAAGACACTTGGGAAAGAGGACTCCAGAGCTGCTGCAGAAAGTGGCGAGGAGGATAGGATAAGTGTGTTTGAAGTGAGAGAGAAAATTTTGGAGGCAATTGATGGTGATGGGTCTTTTTTTTTTTTTCCAGTACCATGTATTGAGCTTGGGACCTTGTGCTTTCAAGGCAGGCAGGGCGCCACTGAGCTAAATCCCCAGCCCCGGCAATGGGTCTTTTACTATGATTTTTTTTTTAATTCTAACATTCACTATCTTCACAATACCCGGTACTTTGTGCATGTACATAGACAGTAAACATAAATGATGTCTCTGTGTATCCTGACCACACAATCATTTGCATAGTAATAAGGGCAGCATGGTCCTTATCCTGTCCCTCTTCCCGCAGTTCACACCTGTAAAGGCCGAGGCAGGGCACCCGTGGGTCCCCAGGTGGCCGGAAGTGGGAGAGGACGAAGATAAGGCCAAGGAGAGGACCCTGGACCTCAGTGTCTTCTGCAAAGTCCAGCTGTCCAGAGGGAGCCCCACTGAGCAGGGGCCTTAGGACCCCTGAGGAGCAGGACTGCCCATCTTGTTGGGGTCTTGAGCCCCCCAGCAGCTTCGTCACAGAGCCCCCTAAGTGGCTTTGCAGGCCAAGCTCCTCGGCAGGGACACAGAATCGTCCTGCCCTGCTGACCCATCCCGAAGCAGATCTAGCGGGTGTGGGGGTTCAAGGGGGATTCCAAGGAGAAGTGCTGGGCACAGCAGGGTGCCTGTCGGGGCTGAGGCCTCACCAAATAGAGGGATGAAGAGAGGAGTTGTAAAGACTCCAGCAGAGAAGATGGGTGGTGTCCTGGGCCGAATGGCGCCCCAACCCCCAAATTCCTCTGCGGAATCCCTGATCCACAGGACCTACGCTGTGCTGTTTGTAGACGGGGTCTTTACAGGGTGACTGTGTCACAGGAAGTCACGGGGTTTGCCCTGATCCACAGCCCTTGGTGTCATAAGAAGAGGCAACCAGGACTGTCACAGAGGGAGGAGGGCAGGGGACACCGGGAGAAGACAACAGCTAGGAACCAAGGAGAGAGGCCCGGGACCCCGTCGCAGACCTCTGGCTGCAGGACTGGGACAGGACGCAGGGCTGCGGTTGGAGCCCGGGCCATGGCACCTCTTGGGACAGCCTTGGCAAACCCACATCTGAGACACGGCCCTGAGGAGAACCTGAGGGAAGAAGCAGAAACCTGAGGAGGCCAGAGTCACCATTGGGTCCCTGTCTGCCACATGGTGCAACCCACCCGCTGGCCTCCCGGGGTCGTCAGCAAGTGTGGCCATGAAGGCAGAGCCATGCCGCCGGGGTGGGGGCTCTCAGGTCCCTGAGATCCACGCACGCCACACCCACACCAGCATCCCTCTGCCACTGCCACACCAGGGTCACAAGGGCAGCCTGGGCCTTGATCAGGACCCAGGGACAAGGACAGTGGGCAGGAGGTGTCCTTACCTTCCCGGAGTGGGCAGTGCAGACCGCTGTGAGAAGCCATGCAGGACAAACACACCACAGACCGTATACACAATATGCACACCACACACACCATACATACATCACACACACCACATGCACACACACACACACACACACACACACACACACTTGCCTCACGCCTTCCAAGCTTTCCAGGCTCCTACTCCACCCACTCCCCTTCTCTCTGTTTAGGGTGTGCTGGGCATGGAGCTGGGGTCCCAGGACCCCCATGGACACCGGAATCTGCAGATGTGCAGATCTCGTGTGGACATGCTGTGGCGTCTGCACAGAGTGTGCACTGACCCTGCCCACACTCACTCAGCCCAAGACGACAGCACTGTGCGTGTGCATGCTGTGTGAACAGTTGTCACGTGCTATTGCTGAGAATTAATGACAAGAAAGTCTGTACGTGCTCCACACAGATAAAACTACTTTCAAATGTTTTTAACCCATGGTTGGTTGAATCTGCAGACTGAGACCCCTGGACACGGAAGGCTGTCTGTGTGTACGTTTTCAGGGCAAACGGCGCCAACAAGCCCAGCACATGACTTCCTTTTTCCAGTCACCCTCACGCTGCCTTAAACATGGAGTCAGGAACCCGCGCTCAGAACCCGAGGCCCTGGCACTAGGGGGCGCTCTGTGTGTGACCGTGGCGAAGTCTCCATAGCTCAGGGTCAGATCGCCTCCATGGTGATGCAGTAAGTTAAAGCCTGCATCTGCTAGCCTCAGCAGAAATACATACACAGTGAGTTGAGCTGGGAAACAAATGTTGAAGGAACTTGTGGAGGATTAGACCACCGCTTCAGATGTTAGACCTTAGGGAGAGCACCCTCCCCCAGCTGAATTAAAATATAGACCTATGGTCCCATGATTTATGAAAAATATATAAGAATGGTGTGATCTAAAGCTATGATGAATGTTCAGATTTTTTAAGCATTTAGTTCAGTAAAAGACACATTGTTGCTAACCCCCCTCAAAACCCCCTCCCTCTGAACACATCCTCACTCTGCTGGAACCCTCCTCCACAGTCCTGGCCCCTTCCCGCAGCAGCTCTGGAGCCCTCTCTCCTGAGTGTCTCTAGCTGCACTGTCCTGGCTGCCTTGATGTCCTGAGTGGATTCAGAACATTTCCCCTTCATGGTCATTGTGACTTTGGGGAAGAGCCGGACGTCACACGGTGCCAGATCTGCTGGATGAGGTGGATGAGGACCCAGTCAGGCTTTCATGAGCTGCCTTTTTCTGCTGGGTGGCGCTCGGTGGCAACCACTCACTGTATTTTTCATCACACCTCATGAAGACGCTCAGGAAAGAGGACTGCAGAGCTCTTCAGAAAGTGGCCAGGACCGTGGAATAAATGTGTTCAAAATGAAAGGGAGGATCTTGAGCTGGACTCATGGCAATGTATCTTTTACTATAACAAGTTTTTTAATTTGAACATTTTTTGTATTTGATTTGCCTGTCTATCTCTGTGTGTGTGTGTGCGTGTGTGTGTGTATGTGCGCGCATGTGTGCACAATGAAGACAGATTATTTTCATTCCTTGGAGGCCATGTCCTGCCTGGAGGGCAGCGCTAGCCAGGCAGTCCTGGGAGTGCCTGCAGTTATGCCGTATGTGGGTGACCTAGGTCTTCCCATCACCAGACTTTTCTGTCTAAAGCAACATTAGTAAATAATTTCAGGCCTACAGGCATTTTAGAAAGAGCCACCCCCTGCTTCCTTTCCCCACCCTGCAGCTGGGCGTCTTCGTGCTCTGGGCCCGCTGACTTCCTCCACATGAAGAACACACAGTGCTCTCTGCCCTGCACTGGGGCCTTTGGCCCGAACAGAGCACCAGTGCCCTCCCTAGGACGGAGCCCCAGGCCCAGCCTCCGCAGCCCCTCTCCTGCTGACCTTCTCTGCTCCCAGCCAGCTGCCCAGGGTGGCCTTGGTGTCCGTTCACCACTCCCCGTGGGCAGACCTGGGGGCTCCTGCCCTCGATTCCCCATCTTCCTCCCTGCGGCCTTGAATGCCACTCTGTCCTCCAGATGCCAGCCCTCTGGACGTCTCTGGTCCCCGAAGGCCTGGAAACGCAGCGAAACCCCACAGCCTCGGGAAGCGTGTGTTGATGTCAGTGGTGCACTGATGGAGCCCTTGTGGGGGCAGCTTTTGCATCCCACCTCCTGGACGCTAAGCTCCTTGGAAGGGCAAGAGGCCCTGCCCACGAGCCCGGCCACCCTCTC